TGACGACGACGACAGGCCGCATCCCAATCCCAATCCCAGACCCAGACCCAGGCTGAGGCTGAGGCTCACGCTCAGGCTCGGGCCACGACTCGTGTGTGTGCAATATCAAGTTTCCATGTCAACTGACCATCGTTGTGCACAGTGGGGCAATGCATAATTGTTTACTTATTTTAAAATGGTATCATATAGTAGTTATATGAACCACATATAGATTTTCGTATATTCTGTATAGATGCAGGCTACAGCTTTTAAGTATTACTGAGGATCTCCGTTTTTCCTGTGCATTGATATAAATCCAATAAGTACATATTTGTAGATAAATATAAATTGATATGAGCAATACTTGTACATCCAGGTTAAATTAAGGGTAAAATAATAAGAAATATTTGTAATTCATACGAAAAAAGAGATTTCTGGGCTCTGTGTTTTGTGTTCGGGTTCCACTGTGCCGGGTCGGTCGCCTGCCACCGTGGTTGTCATTAGGCCGCTGCACTTGCTGTTGTAATTGTGACAGGAGCAACGAGCATGGATCGCTAAAGGGTCGAGATCGCGGTTGAAGTTGCAGTTGCAGTTCGGCCTGGGAGGACGAGGATGGTGCCACAGCCCCGATGTCGGAGGTTTAAGTGGGGTGTGGCAGAGTCGGGTTTTTCTGCTGCTGCTGCCGCTGCTGCTTCTGTTATTGCACTGTGGATTGGCGCGTCGTGATCGTGAGTGCCAGAAGCTGATTTCAGCACGGCTACCGATAAGCGAGGAGCTGCCACTACCACAGCCACTGCCGCTTCCAGTTGACAGACGCGTTGATTGGTTTTGCTGGGCTCCGAGGGGAGGACAGACAGTGCAGGGCAGACATGTAAATTGCTGAGAGCTTTTGGCCGAAAAATACAAAAACTGGTACAATTTTTTTCGGCACCTTTTTTTTGCTTGATAATATTTTGTTGATAGTCATGCTTGTACACGCCCCGTGCCTCCTGTATTTGACAACTTTTTGCATAATTGCAATTGCCAGCAGATGAAAGAGCATCAGCATAAAGGACCATCAGCAGCAACAGCATCCACGGATTCTGCATTCGCAGAGAGGAGAGAGGAGGACGAGGACGAGGATGATGAAGATGATGATGATGATGTCGAGGCCAAAGCCATGACCATTCATAAATTTCGAAACAAACACGAATCCATAAAAAACGAATACGTATACCTGTACACACAAGGCACAAGGCACAGGGCATGGGGCTATCGATGAGGTGTTGGCCCTACTACTCGTACAATCTCACGCCTGCTCCCGACAGGAGCAATGGGCCTCTCCTCCGTCTCCACTTCGTCTCCACATCCCCACTTCCCGGGGATGTCGATGTCTGATTTAATGCAATGCCACAACAAATTGTTTTGTTGGGCCCTGTTCGCTGGCCCGCAATTAATCAAAGTTCTCGCATTACAATTAATCAAAAATTGCTGATGCTGCTCCTCATTCCTCTGGCCAGTGTCAGTGCCATAAATATCATTGGCAATACGGCGGCCAAATAGAATTGGCGGCGTCAAAAAGCGCACCTTAGATGTCGAGCCCCTTCGATGACACTCTGCACATAAATCAGATATCATCGCACACCATAGAGTGGGCGCGGCTTTTCGCATTTCGCCTTTCATCGTATCGTATATTGTTCCCCATTCCCATTCCATCAACCTGATCACGATCGTCAGGCGGCAATTTGATGGCCATGAACAATTGACAGTTGACTTTTGATTTGATCAGCGAGCTTTATAATTTCGAGCCTGATTTCCACCCGTCGCAATGAAGAGCAGCAGAGATCAGGTCTTTCAGAAAGCTTTTCTAATAAGCGGCGAACCTGCGTGATGAAGGACATATGATATGAAATATATATGATAGATTTAGACTACCAACAAAATCAAACGCAATCAAACACCGAAAACATTTCCAACTTTTGTTCATCATTAAGCATCATATTGGACGTTTATTTGCTATTAATCCTGTATAAGTTGTCAAGCTCCAGTTAGTGGGAGTTCCTAATCAATCACTTACCAAAGATTAGAGATTAGTGGTCCCTTCGTTGGAAAAAAGATATTACAAATATATCGAAATCGTTGATCTTCGATAAGCGGTATTTCCAGTTCCCAAGCGATTATCTATAGATCCTCTGTGGTATCCATTAACATTGTGATGGCATTATCAATCAATATTCAAAAGGCACTTGATAAAAAATATATTTTGCTAACAAAGAAACCATTGATACCATCTAAAACCTCAAGATCATCCAATTAAGCGTCTTAAGGCAGTCCTCTCAATACACTTTACTGGATTAGCGATCAAGGATCTTGAACGGCTGCAATTGGATCATTCAATGATCAGTCCAACATTAGACTTTCCAGAAATCGGTCATAAAAATATTGACTTAATTCGTCATGTAGCTGCCACCGCTCTTTAATCTTCCTTTTGTGACCAGAGATCCTACGATCCCCGATCCCCGATACCTGATCGTGAGCCAGCGTTTTCGGCGAACAAAAATGACACAGAAATGTGATTCGGGGCTTATGCAAAGTGCAGCAGCGGCGAGTGGAGGCGAGTGGAGTCGCGTCGAGTGTAATGACAACGGCTCGACCTTGGTCTGGGACGCATCAGAAACAGTTCCCGAAAGTGTTCGCAAAAGTTCGGTAAATTTGCAATGCAATGGTTCGAACGTTTTTGTCGGTGTTCGATCGCGTCTCTTGCCTGCAACCTCTAGAGTGCCGCCCCAGAGGAAGTGTGGAAAAAATGATGCGATGTCAAGTTATTGACAGGCCGAGTCGATATTAATGACGACTTCATCTTCGCTTCATTCGGTGGGTATGCCACTGTCGCTGTTGCTGTCGCTGGCTCTCCCTCAGTTCGTTTTGCTGTGGCCGTGTCTTACCAGCAATTATTGAACTAGTTAGTCGGCCCTCGGCCCCGAAACAGAAACGGATCGATCGGTGCGATCGTCCGCGACGGGATCGTCGGCTCAATTATGAATACGATCGTAAGCAAAACAGCAGAAGACCCACAAAACCGGAGACGGCAAAAGGCAAAAGCCAAAAGGTCCGCAAAATCGATCGAATACGGCGAACGTACATATTTAAGCCAACATGTCAACATAATTTATATTAAAATTTTGTGTCAGATAATGATAGCGCCTCCTGCTGCCGATCGCCTTTGCGCCGCGTCGATCGGATCTGCGGAGCAGAGCTGAAGCTTTAGCTGAACTCGGGTAGCTCCGCTATAGAGGGGAAGACAAATCTCTGGCAAGAATTTCGGAATATGTAAAACATAGCTCGCTTCAAATATGATCAGCAATCTACTATCTAGAGCCCTATGATCATCGGCTTAGGAATCTTGGAGCAGAACTTTCATCAAGGATCATCGAAACATCCTCTTTTCGACCAAATAACAGCCTCATCTTCAGATGGTTATCTGCTAATGTGATAACTGAGATCTCCCGAAATAGAAATCTATTTTTTTAGAGCATTCCAGCCTCGTTAATATTGTGTGGGGATTACTTCTCGATTTAAGCGTGCCGAATCCGGTCTGGTAGCGCTAAAAATGTTCAATAATTTACAACTTCTGCAGAGATTGGAAGTGGATTTGAATGTGGATTCTCCCTGCACTGACTGACCCACAGCGAATTTCTATTGCATCAACAGAGACCGCACCGGATATGATCGATTCGCTGGACTCTGGCGTTGGCGAGGACTCGCTTTGGCCATCTGGAGGGGATGACCTCTCACCTGACTCCTGCTCCTGGGCAACGGGCAATGCAATGCCATGCAATCTCCCGCCGCTACAGCAACGAAGTGTTAAACGATGCCCAGCATGGGTCTGTCCAATGTCAATCGTCACTTTCGGCACGGTTGCCTAGCGTGCAACCAGAATGGGAAATGGAAAATGGGAAATGGAAAATAGCAAATGGGAATGTCCTGGCGGCACAATGGAAGCATCATCCAGCAGAGAGGCTAGCAGCAGCATTCCGATTCTGGCAACAATGCAAAAATTTGTCCTCTCCCCAGTTTTAAATGCTTTCAAAATGCTTTCGAGTTCGAGTCGAGATCTTCTGTCCATGTCCTTGTTATCGTCCTTGGCTCGACGGGTTGTACGCCGGGCTGGGCTATACGCTTGGCACAAAGGACCGCGGGGCATTAGGAGAGTGTTAATAGAATATTGCCTCCGGCTGATCGGGATCAGGATCGGGATGAGGGGAGAGACCTTGAGCTGTGGACCTTCTACAACGCCACCTCCACCTCCACCTCCACCTCCACTCCCTGTTCCTCTTCCACCCCTGATTTATTGTGGCTCAACTATTACGGCCATAAAAGTTGGACTGGTCTCCACTTTCATTAGGCGGCTGCACACGACTCAGAGACTGTAGGATCAGAGGGGAGCGGACTGGAAACTGGGCACGGGGGCGCTTGGGGACTGGGGAAAACGTACATGAAACCGGTTGGCAGCCGGCACGCGACAGTCCCAGAGCCAGGCCCGATCCGAGCCCCAGTTTGAGGCTGCAGGCAGCAGACAGGCAGCTGTAAAAAAGAGCCCAAGACTCCGAGGCAAACCGTTCTCAGTCTGGGAACACTCAAATCACTCAAAGCACTCAAAGCACTCAAAGCACTCAAGAAGCACTCACAGAAGAGGCAGCTGCAGAGATCCCTGAGAGACATTTACTTTACTCTCTCAAGAGAGTCTCGCTGGGAGATTGAGTGGGGCGGAGTGGCTCGGATTGAGCGATCCTTGAGTGAGCCACATTGATGCTGCACCTTTTTGCACCTTTGCTTCCTGTGTGTGCGCGCGCACGCGCAGGTAGCCGACTCTCGACTCTGCAGGTGAGATCTTTGGCCAGACCGGGGCCCGAGCCCCTATAAATAGCCCGAGCGGACCGGGGAAGGGCATCAGAACAGAGCCAGCGCTCGCAGGGAAGACCCAGTCACCAGTCTACAAGCCATCCTTCTACTCATCCATCCATCCATCCCATCTATCTGCCATGGCACTGGACAGCGACAACTCAAGCCAAGACATGTTCGGCTATGATCAGTACGATCATTTCGAGCAGGAGATCGGCGGCGCCTCGGTGGTGCGTCGCAATGCCCGGGAGCGCAACCGGGTCAAGCAGGTCAACAACGGCTTCAGCCAGCTCCGGCAGCACATTCCCGTGGCTGTGATCGCCGATCTGAGCAACGGTCGGCGCGGCATTGGTCCGGGGGCCAACAAGAAGCTGAGCAAGGTCAGCACTCTGCGCATGGCCGTCGAGTACATACGTCGGCTGCAAAAGGTCATCGATGAGAACGATCACAAGCGGACTGATCAACAGCAGCACCATCATCACCATGTGCAGCAGCAACATATGCTCTTCCAGCAACAGAACTTGCAGCTGCAGCAGCAACAGCAACAGCAGCACTTGTACGCTCTCCAACAGCAACTTCAGCTCAGCTCTCCCACCGGCAGCGTCAGCTCCTGCAACAGTAGCAACAGCAGTTCCTCCTATTACAATGCAGCATCGGCGACAGCGACAGCAACAGCAACAGCCAATTTGGTGCAGCCAACGGCAGTCACAACGAAGCTGGAGTCTAGCTACGAGGACTACCGCAACAATTCCTGCAGCTCTGGGACCGAGGACGAGGACATCCTCGACTACATCTCGCTCTGGCAGGATGATCTTTAAGCGGATCCGTGCGAGTACACCTCTGCCACGTACGATCCACCGCTAGTCGCAACCACACAACGAACCATTGATTGGCCCGCCAAGTATTATATACCTCTCGCACCAGCAAAGTATTGTATTTTTCCAGGCACATTCAAAGCATACTTTTTTTTGCCTGTACAAATTAGTTCTTAAGAGCCCTGAATGTGCCTGGTTATTAGATAGTTTATAAGACTGTTCCAACCCTAAGATCTAGCTCATAATGGAAGACAATGTACTATTAAGAATCTCTTTTTTTTTACAAACAAACAAACATGGAGGACATTAAACTGATAATATTTAAAAACTAAATCATTTCAAGACTTCTCAATGGGTGATTTGGAGCGGAAAATAATCACTCATATTATGGATCCGATGTTCTGAAGGATTGATATTTTTGACGATGAACAAAATTTCAAAAGGCACACATATCCAAATTTGTATAGCTCCTTTATTTACAGAAGTTTTTGCAGAATGGATAACTCAGAGTTAAAAAAAACTGTGAAAGATTTCAGACGGAAGAAGTTTTCGAACCTTTTCAGATTGAAGAGAACAAACAATTTTGTCAAGTGAGAAGTGTTGGTGTAGTTCATATTTTAGTCTAGGAAGTTCTGAAAAAATAACAATTTTTGCCCGTCTTTCAGTCTCGTCTGAAGCCTTTTTCATAGAGACTATACGAGCTGGAGCAACAAAAACTTTGTGTCCAGACTCCTGTGTCCTCCCTCCTCCACTCCTTTTTTGGCAAAGATTCCACTGGAATTACATTGAAACTGGCTGACCGCTGACTCTCAAAGATTTACCCCAAACAGTAAAAGAATTTTTTGAGACTCAATTTAATTATTTAGTCCAGCCCAAGATATCTGATCCAATGACCAACCCAACAAAAGCCTGTACCGTTAAATTCCCTAGAGATCGGTCGTAAATTATCCTAACAATTTGTCAGGTTTCAGATACACATACATATATCTGAGACCAAAGCAAAGCAAAGCAACGTAAATTTCAGTAAAGTAAAGTAAAGTAATTTACCTGGCGCATTTTTGCATATGGTCATGGTCGCGCAGAGTTAATCAGAGGCGGGATGCCGACAATTCCAGGCGATCGATCGATCGATTGATCCGCGAATTGTCTCCCATGGTCCGAGCCGCGCTCTGCTATCCTGCTATCCTGCTGCTTCTGTTGCGGCTGAACTAATTTTGAGTTATTCGAGCAATGTATGCAAAACATGAGCCAAAACCAGAAAGATGTACACTGGGAGAAAATATCATTGGGCGATCCAATTTGTACCTTAACAATTCCCATTCTCTCAGACTTGTAATTTCGCTAGAAGGTTTAGATTTCAGTTACATACATTTCCAGAGCTATTTTTTAGGTGGCTTGTTCTACCAGTGTAAAGATGGGAAAGACATGGGCACACAACGATCAGTGGACACCAGTCGGAAATTGTTAAGATCGCCCCCGACAAAGGACCCCAGCGACAGAGACAGAGACAGTGTCGGTGGCAGTGGCAGTGGCAGACAGTGGGACTCTGCTGGGAAGCAACGGAAGCTGCAGTTGCGGCCAATGAAATGCAATGCCCTGCGATGGCATTGGCAGAGATAGCGGATGCCAACCGAAACGACGACGAGGACATTGAACATTTTCTGGTCGTAGTCGAAGTCGCAGTCGTGGCGGAGGTCCAGGTCCAAGTCGAAGTCCGGCTTGATCTAGGCGAGATCCCCTGGCCGACGAACCACATCCGCTCCAAAGGGCAACTCCCACGCGCATTTCCTGCCTGCTGCCTGTACGATGGAGCTAGTGTACGTACCATGTGAAGCTCATTAATAGATAAATGAATTGGGATACGCACTTCCGTCAATCGCTGCCACGATACTCGTAGTATTCGCCATGGATTCGCCACAGAAGAACGCTTATTCGAACGGTTCTTGGTCATGAGGCCTGCCCCCTCTTCATGGCGCATTTATCGAATTATTATTTCCGGCTTTTTCCTGTTTTTGCATTGCATATTAACTGACTGAAACTGAGACTGAGACAGAGACTGATCTGCAGATGGGGGCCACTCAGTTCCATTCCGTTGCGATCGAATCCGAGCCGAACCGATCCAATCCGATCCTCTCTGGTGGCGGTCCCATTGGACGACATACGACAGTGTCCGGCGACAGCAAACGGTGCAAAATCGAACGCTTTTTGTGTGAAGTTAATAATACGTTTGACATGGCCCAAAGGGAGCCCAACTCCACGGCCAAGGAGTTCAGGGGGAGCAGCAATATATGCAGAAATATGTAGCGATCCGATTCGATCGATCGCGACCAGCCCGGGCCCGGGCCCAGGCCAGGCCCTGGGGCCGATGCCGATGCCGATCCAAACAGAATCTGCTGCCCCTCGGGGTCTTCGGCTCTCATTTATATATATACGAGTACAAGTATGTATATATTTTTTGTGCATTTTGTTGAGGTCTCTTTACATGCAACTGCATCGAGCGAACGGAACGGAATGGAACGGAGCGGCAGACTGGCGATCGCCGGATCGGCGTTCGGCCTCTGGCCGAATAAATTTATGATTTATTAAGGATGCTCTTATTACAACACGCCACAACCAACCTCTCGCAGCCCCATGGCCCCATGGCCCCAGACACCGTCTGATGCTGACTGATGTCTCGTAAATAACATCAAGGAGAGGGCTCCTCAAGAGGAGGTGCTCTCCCGATCTCTCCAAAGGAAGAGAGGAGAGGAGAGCTGCGAACGGGCAGCAAGTGAGTTATTTGTTTAACATGAACGCGTTTTTGACTCACAAATGTTGACAAAGAATAATGTAATTTATGTTCGTCCCTGACATCTTTCCAGGATTTCGCCCAGCGACACAGCGAGAGAAAGAGAGCAAAAGAGTGGGGGCTGCGGTGCGGTGCGGTATTGCAGACAGACCCGATCGCATGTCAACCGCATTGCAATTAGAGATATTCGCACCGATATCCCAGTGTCTATCCCATGGATCTATGGTCTTCAAATGAGGGGCGTGCTCTCAGCGAGATGACAGAACAAGTGCCGACAATACGAACATTGTGGAGATGTCTCTCTTCGAGAGAGAGAGAGAGAGAGACTCTTCAACGAGCTAATTCCGATCGCGTGCACTATTGTCCACAAAACGATGTTATGTAACTTCTTGCGAAATACAAGTGCACTCGCAGATAGATCCTCAACAAAGGTGCACTTGTCGCAGAAACAATCGTAAATTGTTCTATTCTACTCTCGTTCTCGGGGCATTGTTACAGTTTCTGGTTTCTTGTACCGATTCCCACCGATCACCGATCACCAGCCCCGAGCCCCGAGCAATTAAAACGCCCACCAAACCCGAATTCCATCAAAGGACTAGACAAGGGCCAAGAGGGACAATTGCGTGTTGCGTGAGCTGTATCCTGTATCGCTGTATCCCTCATCCTGTGTGCGTTTAAGGATCTAAATTGAATTGTACATTTTTATTAGTTAAGCTGATTATATACGAGTATTGACAATGCAGCTGAAATGATAATGATACTGTCGTTCCGATACTCAAAAGTATTTCAAAAATTTAGCCCAAAGAGCCCTAGAGGGGATTACGATTACCGATCACCGATCACCAATTGAGGGTCATTAGAAATTATGAAAGAAATGCGAGGAACCCTGCGTAGTACGAGTATATGTAACAAATTCCAATGAAGGTTTTACCCAAAACGAGAGAAAGGGAGAGTTAATTTCTCCCTTTGAGATGGAATGGAGCTTTGGTCAATGGCTTAATTACCCGACAAAATGTCTCAATATTACCGCGGGGCTTTCACTTTGGCGAATTATTTAAATTAATTACCTTAAGAGCGGCGTCCGGCATTCATCAAAAGCGTTCTTCTTCCTTAATTATAGACTGGATGAGGTGTTCCGTTCCCCGCTATGAGGAGCGATGGGCTTTGGTAAGGATGAGGATGGAGCACGTTTCTTTAATTGCCATGAACCAAACAAACAAATGAAGCAAAAACCCACAGAAATGGGCCACCGGGCGGAGGGAAACTTTCGCCTGATCTTCTCAAGATGGATATACTCCTATAAGAAAAATGGGTTCAAGAAATGGCTCGAAAGACTAGAAGATTTTCGTGAAAAACGATTAAACGAATGTTTTATACGAAAATAATTTTTATTGTCAAATAAAATATTCCTTCCTTCGTTCCATCGTCGTCTTCGTCAGGGAACACCGACAGGGAGGAGTTCACAAGTCGCAAAATTAATTTTGTAAATCGAATAGAAAGACTTGAGGCGTAATCTGTGTAATATATGTAGAGGTATTTGGAATCAGTAGCTCAAGAACCGAGACATTATTTTTTTTTATATTGTGTTTTATCAAATTATGGCCAATTTTATTTCTTAAAACGGAATCAGTGGTCATCCAGCCAGAATGTGTCATCTTTTAATGGAACCACTGACACCCGAACCGCAAGTATTTTTCAAGAATTAATAAACCAATGCTGCAGATAGTCTAAGTCAAAATCAATCTTTCATATTCACATTATGTTATGAAATCTTTTTGTGGCGTGTATTTCATATTAAAAGGAGGTGCAAAAATTCGAAAATTACTCGAGAGTCGAATAAGTGATTTATAGACATGGAATAGCCGTAAATGTATGTCATTTATAATATTTTTACCATACGCTCTGTGGGGAGTTGCCAAAGCGGTTCTAGCGGCTGTCTCTCTTTCTGCCCCTGACTCCAACTTCAACCGCCTCTGCCTCTGCTTCTGTGGAGTCTCAAGGTAATTTAAATTATCTTCCCAGAGCTGTGGACCCCATCAGAGCAACGGACTCGTCATATTGCAGCTTTTATAATGAAATTTACGACATTTAATTGGAGAAGAGAAGAACCAACCGCTAGCGGCACATTCCAAGAGGGGCTGTGCCTAGACGACGCGTGGCATTATTCAGAGGGATATAAAATATAAAATATGTATATATTTATGTATATATACGA